AGAGAGAGAGAGAGAGAGAGAGAGAGAGAGAGAGAGAGAGAGAGAGAGAGAGAGAGAGAGAGAGAGCAGACGCCATAAGACGCCATCAGCGAGCGTTGCTGTGAGCCACGGCGTTGCCGTGGTGGGTTCCACTTGTTCTACTAAATGAGCGACCTCCTGATGATGCTAAATTCTTTCGACGAAATTTCGTGAAAATTTTTGAAAGTTATGTCTAAATGTTTAAACTTGCTTAAACTTATTCATTTCTTTTATTGGTGCAAATTTAAATATTCTTGATTAAATATTTAACTTTTGTGAAATTTATTATTGCAAATGTAAATATTCGTTAATCAAGTATTTAATCTTTTGCCGAAATTAAAATTTTATTAATTCCTATTTTTTAATTAAAATTTTATTTAATTTCCCAAAATTCGAAAATTCGTCGGGGGGCGGGGGGGGAATTTTTTCTTTGATTAGTGTCAGACTTCGAGGTCAGGGGAGAACGGGACTGTCAGTGCAATGCTGGCCTCTCTGCCCCTCCTCAACCTTCTCTCTTCTCCTCTCGGTATATGGTTGCCAGCATCCGGACACGTCAGCAGAGTGCCACCTCAGCAGTGACATGTCAGCAGAGTGCCACCTCATCACTGACACGTCAGCAGAGTGCCACCTCAGCAGTGACACGTCAGCAGGTGCCACATCAGCAGTGACACATCTTGATGCGCCACAGCCAACGACTGGCCGAGCGCAGACCCGCAGGAGCCAAGCCACAACAGGGACTTAGGACCCCTCGGATTCCGCGCAGGCCACGCACGACCATGGCTGCTACCACTGACAACAGTGCACCATCCAGCCCCAAGAGGCCGGTTACCCCTCCCCTCCCAGTTCAGCAGGCCGATGAACCACTTCTAGTGTTCCTCGACCGCCTCCAGCACTATTCGGAGACGACGGCAGCTGAACTGCACAAGTGGGAAGAGGAGGAAGCCGCCCCCCAGCAGGAAATTCAACGCCAGCTGGCAGAGGCAGAGGCAGCACGTCAGCAGGCCGCAGCAGAAGCTGCAGCAGCCGCACGGTTGCAACAGCAGCAGGTTGAGGCAAGTCAAAACCAGGCTCGTTACCAAGCCACGATGGACCTTGCTTGCGACGAAGCCATGTACGCAAGGCTACTTCGACGACAGCATTTCCAAGAGACCGAAGAACAAGAACAGCCAACCGACGAAGAAAGAGACAAGGAAGGGACAGCAGTTCGAATGGAGACTTTGCTGTACATGTGCAATTGGCAGCAACGTGAACTGCTCGCCATGCGGCAGGTCCTCATCCGCCATGAAACAACACTCAAGGCAATGGACAAGAGGATCGTGACCCTGAAGACCGAGAACAGCACACTACATGCCGCCAACAGCCAGCAGCAGACGCTCAACAGCCAGCAGCAGACACTCAACCACCAGTTGCAGGCAGATGTCAGCATGGGGTTGGCACAACTGTCAGCAGCTGCGTCAACGGGCAGTGCAGCGGTAGACTGCAGCCCAGCTTTGGCCGCACAGGCCAAGCAACTCGAGGAGCGGATCAACCACTTAGTCGCATCCCTCGGCGACATCAGCAAGTTTGCTGGAGCATCGACAGTCAGCAATCAGCTGCAGACGCTCAGCGACCGCGTTGACCAACGACCGGCCGCTGCCGCCAAGGAATGGAAGATGCCGAACTTCAAGATCGAGAAGTTCGACGACTACNGACGCTCAGCGACCGCGTTGACCAACGACCGGCCGCTGCCGCCAAGGAATGGAAGATGCCGAACTTCAAGATCGAGAAGTTCGACGACTACCACAAGACTGATCCGCTGCAATGGTGGATGGCATTCAACGCAGAGGCCGACGTACACCACACCCCACCACTACGGCGGCTTGACGCACTCTACCTCCAGCTCATGGGAGGGGCGCAGGCCTTCATGACGCACATGGCGGTCACATTCGAATGCACCATCGCCAACCTCCACACGAAGATCACGTGGGAGGAATTCGAGAAGAAATGGAAGACTCGTTTCATGGTCAACAACGACAAACGACACGCCATGAACAAGATCTTCCGCATCTACCAAGGCCAGCAGACGTCACGGGAGTGGCTGACGGAGTGGCAAAGACTCGTCGCCACCCCGGAGTTGAACTTACCATTCGACGCAATCCGGGCCGAATTGTTCGCCCGGTCATGCGACGCCTTGACTGCTGCCTTGGGTACTGAGTTTCAGTATGAGACCTTTGACGATCTGATCTCAAAGGCAAGAGAGCTTATCCAAGGTAACCGGCGTGTGGCCAATGAGACCCACCAACAGCCCGGTTACGTGGAGAAAGGCAAGGGACAACGGACGCTGCAAGTAGCAGCAGTCCAGCAAGGAACAAGTAAGGACCCCGCAGCCGCGTCTACATCAAATGACAGAGATGTGGCGGCAGCGATACCACCGCATCGCTCAAGACCCCGAGGGGGAAAACAAAAGGCGAAACCAGCGTCGGCGGATGGAGCACAGGCACCATGGACGAAATTCGGCATTACCGAAGAAATGTTCAAGTTGCGACAAAAATCGTCATGCTGTTTGTGGTGCAACAGCACCAAACACATCACTAGTGCCTGCCTCGACAAGGACAAGGAAAATGTCAAGCGTTCGGGCTCGGGAAACTGAGCACCGCGGGAAGTGCAGCGACAACATTTCCCAGTCCGCCGGAGTCGGCTGCCTTGCTAGCAGCCTCTCTCACATCCAGGGACACCGGTCTCTTATACACATCTAGATGTGTATAAGAGACAGGAGTCGGCTGCCTTGCTAGCAGCCTCTCTCACATCCGGGGACACCGCGGTAGTCGCAAGTTCTCGCATTGAGTATGAGAACTATGTTGTCGAGCTGGTCCCACCGTTGAACAGCCTCTCCACGTGCAAGATTCAAGCGCATGCGCGTCAGTTCTGCCGTCGAACAACGGACCGGTTGCTTCGCCAGCCCTATCATCGGAGGATCCGTCAACTTGGGCGAGTCTTGAGGATCTCTACCCGTTGACGGTTGAGGACTTCCAATGGTTGTCTCTTCCCTCCACCGGTTCTTTGCCAACTCCGCATTGCAATGCCTTAATGGCACATCTGCGCGAATACTTGCACACTGCAGTACCACCTCCGCCGACGAACGGCGGAGTAGCGGTTGTTGATCTTTGTAACTATCTTGCGAAGATCGACCATGAGTACGCAACGCAACGGTACGTCGACAATGACGCGCCACTCCTCTACATCCGCATTCAGATCGGAAAGGTGACCTGCAGTGCCTTGATCGATTGTGGAGCGACTCGCAACTACATCAACCAAGACTTCATGGCACGTGCCGGGCTTGGCCCGCGTGTTCGAAGGAAAAGTCAGCCTACGCACGTCACGTTGGCCGATGGTTACACGCAAAAGTCAATCGACCAATGCGTTGACTCGGTGCCCGTGTACTTTGCCCCGCTAGCATGCGAGGCCGTGTCTTTCGACATATTGGACACCAAGTTCGATATGATCCTAGGCATCTCGTGGCTGCAAAGCGAAGACCATCCGGTGAACTTCCATCGACGCACCCTTCACGTTCGTGATCGGCGTGGCGAACTAGTCCCGTGTACGGTGGCACTTCCTCATCCTTCGATTGGTTGTCACGTGGTATCCGCGGCGAGCATTCGCCAATCCATCCCGCGGAACGACATCGAGGAGATGGGCATATGTTTTCTTCACGCCCTCCCACCCGGTGATAAGCCCAAGACGGATACGTCGGACCCACGCATTATTGAGCTGTTGGACAACTATGAGGATGTCTTCCAAGCTCCCGCCGGAGTCATACCGGATCGACCCATACGCCACGGGATCACTCTCGAGGACGGCGCCGTACCTCCGCACGGAGGTATCTACCGCATAAGCGAAGAGGAACTTCAAGTGCTTCAGGCACAACTAGACGACCTCTTGGCCAAAGGCTGGATTCGCCCTAGCTGTTCGCCATACGGTGCCCCCATTCTCTTCGTCCGGAAGAAGAACAAGGACCTTCGTTTGTGCATTGACTATCGGAAACTTAACGCTCAAACGATCAAGAACGCCGGCCCTCTCCCTCGGATCGATGATCTTCTCAAGCGACTAGGCGGCGCCAAGTACTTCTCGAAGCTTGACCTCAAGTACGGATATCACCAGATCGAGATCCAACCAAGAGACCGGTACAAAACCGCGTTCAAGACACGATATGGGCACTTTGAGTGGATCGTCATGCCTTTCGGTCTCACCAATGCCCCGGCTACTTTCCAAGCGGCCATGACGACGGAATTCCGCGACTTGCTCGACCGCACTGTACTCATTTACCTCGATGATATCTTGGTTTATGGCCGAACACAGGACGAGCACCTCGAGCACCTTCGCGTCGTATTGGAGTGGCTCCGCATTGCCAAGTACAAGGCGAATCGCGACAAGTGCGAGTTTGCCCAGCAAGAGCTGGAGTACTTGAGCCATTACGTTACGCCGCATTCGTCCGCTCGCGGACAAGGTACAACCTATTCAAGATTGGCCGGACCTCAAGTGTACTACCGACGTCCGCTCCTTTCTCAGCTTGGCATCATACTACATGCGTTTCGTCAAAGGATTTCAACGTTGCACTATTGTCGCGACTTCAGTCCCCCTTGGTGCCCTTCGAGTTCAACGACGAGGCTCGGCATGCGTTTCACACGCTGAAGACTGCTTTGCTTCAAGCTCCCGTCTTAAGCATCTATGACCCGACATTGCCCACCAAAGTGACTACGGATGCTTCCGGTTATGGCATTGGCGCGGTTTTGGAACAGCATGACGGCACAGACTGGCATCCGGTTGAGTACTTCAGCCAAAAGGTGCCGCCCATCAACACTCTTGATGATGCGAGGAAGAAGGAACTCCTAGCTTTTGTCACCGTACTTACGCGTTGGCGTCACTTTCTCCTCGGGCGTTGGCGATTCACGTGGGCAACGGACAACAATCCGTTGACGTATTACAAGACACAAGACACGGTGAGCAGCACGATCGGTCGATGGATGTACTTCATTGACCAGTTCGACTTCACCTCCAAGCACATTTTGAGCTCCTCGAACAAGGCAGCGGATGCTCTCTCGCGAAGACCTGATCTTTGCGCCTTGGTGCACTCCACATTCGGCCTCGACGAGAACCTGCAACAGCATTTCATAAATGGCTACAAGTCGGATCCGGGATTCTCCACAGTCTATGCAGACTTATCATCGGATCAACCGCCAGCAAGCAACTACTGCATTGTCGACGGTTACTTGCTTCTTCACACACGAGGCAAGGACTTGTTGTGTGTTCCCAGGACCGCATCTTGCGCACTTGCCTCCTTGGCGAATACCATGATTCGCGGCTGGCAGGACACCTTGGCGTCGCACGCACACTAGCACGACTCCGCCAGCGATTTCACTGGTCGGACATCATCAGCGACGTTAACCGGTATATTCAGTCATGTGCAGTTTGCCACCGGAACAAAGGGCGCCATCAGCTCCCGTACGGCGAACTGAAACCATTGCCGATTCCTCGGGCACCGGGTCTCTCCATTGCTATGGATGTGACCGGTCCTTTCCCTCGCGATCGCCTTGGTCATGATGGTATTCTCACGGTCGTTAACCGTTTCGGCAAGTACACTCGATTTCTTCCATGCAAGTATCATGCGACGGCTCCCGAGCTCGCACAACTTTTGCATACCGGCTGGTTTTGCAGCCATGGCGTTCCGGAAGACATCGTCAGCGACCCCGACACTCGTTTCATGTCGGCCTTTTGGACGACACTCATGGTGGAATCCGGCACCAGCATGAAACGTTTCGCACGGCATCCTCAAACAGATGGGCAAACGGAATATGCGCACCAGACTGCGTAGATGATGCTCCGCACACTCATCCGCCCGGATCAGAAGGACTGGGTTGACCGCCTTCCCGACATTGAGTTCGCCTACAACACTTCGGAGCACCTGGCAATTGGCGTAACTCCATTCGAGTTGCACGATGGTGGACGGAAAGGACGTATCTTCGCAGACATTTTGCTTCCACAGGCTGCCGATATCGATGCCGCTTGCTCCCCCGCTTCTACACGGAAGTACAGGGAACTGCTGGCCAAAGCCCGCACAAACATGCAGAAGGCTCAGGTCCGTATGCAGCAGCAAGCGAACCGGCGTCGCATCCCAAGTCCAATTCGCGCTGGCGACCTAGTTTGGGTCGCCTCTGAGGAATTCGTGCTCGAGCAAGACGTCTCGCGCAAGCTCCTCTCGAAGTGGTTTGGACCATGGATGGTCACTTCAGCAGCTGGCGACGACCCCGCGGGTCCATCTTTCATCATTGAGATTCCCCCACATTTGACAGTCCACCCGATATTTCACGCTTCAAAGCTGGCGGTCCACACTTCAGCCTCCGCAGCGGACTTCCCGGGCAGACGGTCACAGGACCCTCCGTCAATGGATGGCCATCAGGAGGTCGACCACGTTCTCACGCATCGCAAGCATGGCAACAAGCCTATGAAGTACAAAGTTACATTTAAGCAATGCGATCCAAACGACACACGCTGGATTTCAAGAGCTGATCTGAAGGAGACAGCACCCCTCATCTTCGCACATCATGAAAAACAGCGACATGCTAAGGAAGCTGCCCAACCTTCCCGCCCTATACTGACATCGGACAGACAGCTTCGCCCTCGCAAGTAGCTCGGTCTTCAAGGGGGGGAGTGTGTGGCATTCTGAGCCACACGGGCCCCAGTTAGGGCCCGGTTCCAGACAGGCAGGGTAGGCCTAAGGGACGACGGTTCAGATGAGGCCAGATGGGCCTGGACCACGGCGGTTCAGGCAGGCCCAGGCCAAACGGCCACAAGGCCGGTACCGGTCCAGCCTAGGACCCACCGACAGCGTTTCAAAGGCTGCCACAGTTTAGGCGCCAACCAGTTTCAAAACTGGACCGTTGATCTGGATCAACCGTCCAGGCCGGTGGGTACCAACCTTAGTAGGAAGGTTAGTAAGGCTAGAGGTTAGTCTTCAGGATTAGCGCATCAGCTTCAGCGTTAGCTCACTTAGCGCAGCGCTGCAGCACCGCACGGNAGTAGGAAGGTTAGTAAGGCTAGAGGTTAGTCTTCAGGATTAGCGCATCAGCTTCAGCGTTAGCTCACTTAGCGCAGCGCTGCAGCACCGCACGGAGCAGCGAGAGCGAAGAGTCCAGCGGCGAGCRGATTAGCGCAGCACTTGGGCGCAGCGCCAGTTACCGGCCCAGCCCCTTGCAGCGCCATAGCGACGGACCAGGTATCAGGGAGGAAGGCTTCGCCTTCTCTCCGTCTTCTCCTCCATCGCTCCTCTCTCCTCTCTCTCTCTCTCTCTCCTCCTACCTTCTCAGTCTAAATCTACTCCTACTTCTCCTACAGGACTACTGCAGGATGGGAGATGGTTACGAATTCTGATGACATCTGAGACAGCGACATTGGGACTACGAGTTGAGGACTATTTGGGGATCTGATTTCATCTTCCTTCCGGAGATGTACTTGACATTGTGAGATCGACATCTGGGATATTGTGAGACTTGGCATTCACGACATTTCGGATTTTCGTCACTTCTGACAGTTCAAGATACTATCTTTGGAAACATTGAGTTGACATCATCTTCCCTCTCCTCCTCCTTCATCTCTCTCCTCTCCCCTTCGTCCGTGTATGATCTCAACCCCCGGGCCCTTCATCCATACTCGAGGCCAGGGCATTCACACCCCGATGAATGCTTGAGAGTGTTCGATTGCAGTCCGAGTCAGGTCCGAGTCAGTCCAAGGTATCTCAAGTCTTCCGCTTGCATTTGATTAACTCTGTATTATCTGGTCGGTTCTGGGAATCTGCGCCATACTTATGACTGTGTTTCACGAGTATGCAACAACTGTACTGTAATCCTGATGTAAATCAAAAACCCACAGCAGCTGCTTATGAATAAACTTCTGAGTTGGCATACAGTGGTGTTGATAATCAGGTTTCAGATAGGAAGGAGTCTTCTATTAGTGTAAGCTTGCAGCATAACTGCCACAACGTAAAAAGTCCTTTTACGGCGCTTCAGGAAAAAAAAAAAGAAAAAAAAAAAGGATGTCTTCCTGAAGGTATTTTGCAGTTAGCTGTCCTTCTATCTTGCTTTTAGCAGTTCGGTTATAAGGTAGACATCTCTAGATTGTTTAAGCAGTTAGGCAGTCCGGTAACCCATATAGGTCTGTCCGTACCTTATGTGCCCTTGAGGTCTTAGAAATAGTGATTACCTAGCTTACTGCAAAGATCAGTCCTTTCCGTAAAATACCTTACACTTCTCTGTCCCGCTGGTTTCACATACATTTGAGAAACAGACCCAGACGGAGAAAGAAGGTTTTGCATAACATCGAGGACAACCACAGGCATTAGCATAGGTTCTCTGCATTCTATCCACGTTCAAAGTGCCCAGTCGGATGTTCATTTTTATTCTAAAAATAAACTACCCAAAAGTGTTTATTGTAATTTTTCAATTAGTAAAATGTAATGACCCGTCATAACACAGACTGAGAACACTGCTGATTTCTGAAGTTCTGCTGATGGAATGGATGCATTGCTGAGATTCCCGCATTCTACTGTGTTTTCTAAGTCTGTCTGTGTGTGCGTGCTTGTGACCTGCGTGCCTGTCTGAGTGCTTGTCGGTATCACGTTCTCCCAATCTGCGTGTGCGTGCTTGTGACCTGCGTGCCTGTCTGCAGGTTGCCCTCGCATAGGAAGAAGCGAAACTTAGGTCTCTTCGGTAACGTAGGGGTGAAAAGGAATGACTTAGGCAAACCACCTCATCAAGTCAAGAACCCAATTCTGGCTGGCTCTCATATTGGCATCACGTTCTCCCAAACGCGGCCTGAGACGATCTCGTGCAAATGAATTTGATATGTATTAGTTATTTTGATTGCGTGTCCTCCCGACAATATTTGATTGTCGGTGATATGGACGCGGGATTGTTTCAAGACTATCTCTGCGAGGATATGTTTTCTATCGACTATGACCAATTTATCTTTGAGTTGTGAAGTTATCGTGGTAACCTTCTTTGGATTGTATCCAAGGGACTAGGATTGCTTGTCACGCTTGGTTGAGACCATCCTAGTCGACCGACGTGCGCTTCGTACTTAGGAGATGAGCGCCCTAGGGAATGGACGACGTCCGGGTTCAGAAGGTGTTTTTTAACCAAGTGTACCTATACTGCAGCGAAACGAGTAAATGCCCTCGGTTGATCCACCTTTGCGATTGCATATTAAAACTTTCGTACGTGGGTCAGTGGCTCGGTAGGGATACGACTGTAAGGGTGGTGACAACCCCTTAGGGAAATAAGTTGTGCCTCGTGGGAACCTATCTTGTTGTAGGGGACCACGAGGAGTACGCCTGGCGCACCCGGCTAGAGCGGCGAGGGGACGACGCGACCTCGTCCGCCTTAGCGACTCGCGGGATAACTTACGTGTTTGTCCAAAGTTGACTCCGATGATGTGGTCGGGAGGGTTCTCGCCTTTGGCTAAAAGGTGGGAGCCAATGCGGTTGACACTGTGTCCCAACTGGCCCCAGATCCACTTGGTCTCGTTAGGTCCTAGTCCCAGAGTCTCCAGTATACCGTAGGGTCTAGTTGTTGAAGCGTCCTACTCCGGTCGGGTCTGGAACCAAAGCATTGTACGTGGGTAGAAGGCCGATGGTACCCAATAGAAAAAGGCTAGGCCCAAAGTCCAATTTGCCACCAGCATCCCAAGAGAGCCCGAAGACCTCCGGACAGCAAAAGTCCAGCCCACAAGTTGCCTACAAGCGGTACCGGTCTGAGGCAGGTAAGCGACAAGTCCAAGTTCCTATTTATAACTGCTACAGTGAAGGCAACTGTTCAATAGCGAGTTGCAAAAGTGTTGTTGGTGGCTTGTGCAACAGTGCGACTTTGCGCCGAGGTTGAGGGAGAAGGACGACGCCATAACTAGAAGAAGGAAGGAGGCATCCATAGCTGCAGTAGTCTAGAAGTAGGAAGTGGGTGTATTCAGGGAGGCGACCTGCAAGACAGAGAGAGAAAGAGAGTGAGGCGAGCAATACAAGGTCAGAGAGAGTGAGGTTGTGCGACAGAAGAGTTGAGAGAGAGCCGAGAGCGATAGTGAGAGAGACAGAGGCAGGGGGGAGAGAGTCGAGTACTCACCGGGCCCCGCGCAATACGCGAACTCTTTCTCTCTATACTACTAAAAGCAAACCTGGGCCCCGTGCAATGCTTTGCACGGGCCCAGGAGAAATCGGGCAGGAGGCGGTACCTTGCCACAGTCCCAGCCACATTTCCACCACACATTTTTTTTTCTCGGGTTAACCCAGAGCCTCCACTGAAGCGCGCATTTTTTGTTGTTGTTGTTGGGAGGGGGGGCACTTAAAACGCGTCGTTTTGGATCTCCACGTTTTGTTTTTTTTGGTCCCTGGACTCTCGTGGGTTCCTCAGGATCCCTGAGTTGGCGTGCCCAGGAGCGGTTCTGTACACGGCGGCTCGCACGTTCAAATACAAGCACAGAGCACACTCGGTGCGCTTGCCCACCACTCAACTCAAGTGTAAAAGGGGAACGAATCTTCTACTAGAACATGGGAAAATGCACCACCGGGCTCGCAGCACCGTTCACGAAATGTACAAAATGTGAATTATTCTTCTACTAGAACAATGATGGCTGTGTATCTTTCAATGTTCTAGCGGAAGATTCATTCTCAATTCCACACTGTGTGAACACTGGAGAAACATCATGTAATTTTCCATGTTCTAGCTGAAGATTCATTCTCAATTCACCAGTTTGGTAAGCGGTGGAGCACTGTATCTTTCCGTGTTCTAGTGGAAGAGTCATTCTCAATGTGCACGTTCGGTGAGCAGTGCAGCGAGGCCCCATGTTCAAATGCAATGCTGCTGTATCTTTCCATGTTCTAGCACCAGATTCATATATTGTTACACCGTCGCGCCCACGACAGATAAGTGTCCCCTTCTTCCTTTCTTCCCTCCTTGTGACTCTGTTCGATGGACTTTCCCTCACTTGCATGACGATCTTCGACTTGAGCCTTTGCGATTGCCCCTGGGGATGACTGGTAATCGGCACTGGTCGAAACATATCGGGTGTAGCCGATACATGCTTCTCTTCAGTCAGTCAGGATATCTTCTAATGCTGTTTGCATCAACTTTGTCTGATTGGCCAGATGAGGAAGCAACTTTGATCTTCATGCTTTATCATTTTGTTTAACTCACTCGGGCTTCAAGGCATATCGCCGCGTTCATTCTTCTGGCTTGATTTCTACCTCCGCTCTGTCCCACCCTGTCCGGCATTACCTGCTTTCTTGCTCTCTATGAATCTGCTCTCTTTGTGCTTCCTCTTTGATTTCTCTTCCTTGCTTCTTTGAACCTATCATTTGCTCTCACAAATTGATTCAACAATGGAGTGGCTGAAAATCCTTCTATGGGTGCTTGATGTTATTGTATTCTTTTTTTTTTTTTTTTTTTTTTTTTTTTTTTTTTTTTGTGACAAGGCTCCAATCTATTCATGGGGAGCAGCACGTGCTGGGAACCGGGCCCAGAGTCCCATATGGAACTTTACATCGAATTTTGAAAGTTTGAGATATCGGGGCCATTACCGAGCTTTGGCTGAAAAAACTTTGAGAGAATTTTGAGCTACTAAGAAAATTACTACGACACACTACAGAATAAGGGTCAGCCCACAACAAAAAACGCCACCACAGGGGTCCTACAAATGCTCAAAAACCTGTGGATCCCTAGCAACCCTTCTGAAGCTCTCCAGCACCGTCTTACTCCCTGCTGAGCTCTTCCAGGCCTCACACCCCTACCCTGCTGGGTTACAGGGCAACACGACTCGCCCCAGCTCCGGCCAGCGTCGTCCCAGCAGCAACCCTTGGTTGTCCCTTGGAATGCCCACCCCAAAGCATCCCCAGATCTCTCTACCAGGCCTCACACTCCTGCATCAGCAGGTTACAGGGTAACACCCCAGCACCGGCCAGCGTCTTTCTGGCATTGAACAGCAGCAAATCACCGAGTATATCAGCAATGGAGCCGTCCAAGATGAGTTGCTAGGAGTCCCCAGAATCTTAAATCATTCTTAAGACCATCTTGAGGTACCGGGGCCATTACCCGGCTTCGGCTAGGAAAGACAATTGTGTCATCTACACCAGGAAAATTTAAAAAGACTTGGATAATTGCTGGCCTATTGCTAGTCTACTGAATGCTCAGAACCCCTGGACTCCTTAACAAAACCCTCTAAAGTTCGCTAACACTGTTGTATTCCCTGTCGAGCTCTCCCGACCTCATGCCCCTACCCTACTAGGTTACAGGGCGACACAACTCACCGCAGCTCCGGCCAGCGTCGTCCCGACATCAACCCTTGGTTTTCCCTTAGAATGCCCGCCCCAAGGCATCCCCAAATCTCTCTATGAGGCCTCACGCTCCTGCTATCAACAGGTTACAGGGCAACCCCCCAGCACCAGCCAGCGTCGTTCTGGCATCGGAAAACCGCATATCCTTGAATATAACTGCATCAAAGAAACCTAAAGTGAGTTGTAAGAAACACCCAGAATCCTAAAGTGTTTTCAAGACCACTCAAACAAACAATCCACCCTCATTCCTCCAGCCCCCTACTCTTCTTCATCCCCCGACGAGCCGACCTCCTCCACCACATAGTTCGCGGGATGAGAACAGCAGCCGCACCCACACAATGGACACCTTCCTCAACCATTCCTCATCTCACGATGAGCCGACCTCCTCCACCCATAGTTCACAAGACGAGGAATATAAAAAATCAGGTGAACTCACCTTACCCTCACTCAATAAGCGCAGCACTACATTCCATCGGAAACCATCCTCCCTCTTCCCTTCAACCCCCTACTCTTCATCATCTTCCAACAAGCCGACCTCCTCCACCACATAGTTCGGAAGATAAAAAACAGTAGACAAACAACCTACCCCAATCCCAGACTTCAACTATTCATCTTCATTCGACGAGCCGACCTCCTCCACCATATAGTTCGAAGAAGAAGAATAGAAGTAGTCCCAAAATGACCTGTGAATGAGTTTAACGAGCCAGCGACCCTCCACCCCCCACCTCTTCTTCATCCCCCGACGAGCCGACCTCCTCCACCACATAGTTCGCGGGATGAGAACAAACAACCACAACCACAACCACACAACGGACACCTTCCTCAACACATTCCTCCTCTCTCGACGAGCCGACCTCCTCCACCCATAGTTCGCAAGAGGAGGAAAGGCAGAAATCAGGTGAACGCCCTCACCCTAATAATCGCAGCACCAACCCCACTAACCTCTTACCTCACTCCAGCAAGACTTATAACAGCTAAGCCACCATTTCAGTTGCAGCTATGCCCTAATCCAATCCCACTAGCTAGCCCTCCTCACCAGCAGGACGCAATTCCACCAGCCATAAACCACCCCAACCCAAGTACCACACATTCTCAAAACACCTGGCCCGCAAACAGCGAAAAAGAAATGGGTACCCAATCGGAAGTTCCTCAAGACACGAAAAAACCTTCTGTTTACCAAAAAATAGAATTGAATCAAAGTTGAATAAACATAAGACATCAATCCCACTTTGAGAAAACCTTTTGTAAATCAAACTTAGTAATCTTTAATTAGAATCAGAGCGAAGCTCTGTTTTACGAATTTCAGATTAGGAATCTTGCACAGAAAATACGAGTTGCAGATTAGACGAATCTCACGTAGGAAATTACTTAGGAAATTACCCTAGTGAAAATCCAGATCACAATTTACTTCGAATTGCGAACTTCAAGATCAGGAAATTTTTTAGAATCAAGGGTTTCAAATGAAGACATACGAACTAAAATTTAAGTCGAGAGTTTGAGCAACAGAAAAAGGAAATCAGACTTTACTTCTAAATTGCGAAACATCAAAATTGAAAACACGTCAGAATATGCGAACTAAAATTGAATCGGAGATCTGAGCATACAGAACTACCAGTCAAATATCTCCTAGGAACGCGAAATAGGGATAAAACCAACAACATGGAATTAAAGCACAATCAAAACCAGATTACCCAATCAGAGAACTGCGGAGGGTCTACAAGGTGTCTTGACTTACAATTGCTATCGCTGCCACCCCACAAACATGTCATGTCCTTCCCCCCTCCCAACCTCCACCTCCTCCTTTGCCGGCTAAAAAACAACTCAACCATCTCATGGCCTGCAACCCGTCGCAGCCATGAACGCATAAGGCTGATCAACGAAGACAATCGGACCGTGGCCTTGGCTTACCTTGTACCAGCCACGCAGCGAGACAAAACTGCCAAACCCGTCGGCGGCCCCTCGCTGCCAGTCGGGAGGGAGAGAAGAACATGCCATGTTAGCAAGACGCCTATGCAGGTTATTACCATCCTTTCGCACGCTCCATCACTCAATAGCCACAAACCCTCAGTGGCCTCGTCGCCTTCTCCTCCGTCAGTGATGATTTATGATATTCTGTAGTTTGATCCTCGTGCCGGTTGCCGTGTTTACCTTGTCGTCCACCTCATTCGAGAGAGGATGCCCACCCTGCCAGGCTTTGATGTATGTCGCCTGGCTCGCCACATACCCAGCTGCACGCCATCTCCAAACCTCCCCCTCACCTCCTCTTACCTCTACGCACCTTCCACACGCCTCTCTACCTCTCGCGCCCGGCATCCCGCCCAGACGCACTTTCCCGTCTGTGAGCCCCCCTACACTGTCCAGCATCAGCGTTCGCCACCTTGCGCCGCTTCGTCTCCGAAACTGCTCCAGCAGAGGCGCAGCGCTCCCCGATGTTCTTGTAGATGTTCTTGTATTCTGGATGTGCGTATTTCACATCTTTGCTGAAGTGTATGGCAAACCACACTTAGATATGCTATTGCCAAATGCAAAAGGGAGGATTCTAAGAGGCGTGGCAGACAGCATCATTGAGATTACTCGTATTAAGTCGTCCATTCCTTACCTAGTTCTTTTTTTGGGGGGTGAGTACGTTCATGTCACCTTTGAGTCTCATGGGCAACGAAAACACGCTTCGGCAAAGAAAGCCACCAAGCTCCAAAAGGCAACGGAAGCACCGACGGCTGTGGTGTCAGACTGGGCATCATATTTACAGGGGTCGCCCGTGGTGTCAGAGGGGGAAACAAAAAAAAACAAAAAAAAGCCCAGCGGATACTTTTGGAGAAATTTGGACCGAAATTGCTCATGTCGAGTTGGTGCGTGGTTTCTTTGCCGGTGCAAGTCTTTTTGCTTTTAGGGTTAAACATGCCACGTCCGCTGTTACTTTTTTTCTTTTTTTTTCTGGACTTCTTTCTTGCCGTCTGTTAGTTCCATGTTCCGAGCCGTCGTGACTTCTGTACTATGTCCGCACTCTTACCTTACCCTTACATGTTCTACCGAAAGATTGATTCGGTGAGCAGTGGATTCAGGCCATTAGCAGTGGAGCGACCACATTACAGGTGGAGCGTCTCGGTGAGCAGTGGAGTGACGCCCTACAATGGAGGTGTGTCTTTCCGTCTTCTAGCGGAAGATTCATTTTCGATTTGCACATTCGGTGAGCACTGGAGGGAGCCTCGATGTTCAAGTACACAGCAAGCACACCCTGCCAATGCTTTTGTTCCCCCCGCCCCGACTTCCAACACAAGCATATGGCCGCAGCATTCAGTCCACAAGATATGGGCTCTCCCGCATCTGCCTGCCTGGTCTGATCCTGCTGTGTATAGGCAGGATTGTAAGCGCTGGGTCCACTTGTTTGTACAATACGACAGTTGATTGAAGTTTCTTCATCGAGTGGAGTTGCTTTTCATCGCGTGGCCTCATGTGAACTTTCATGTGAACTATCTGTGAATGCATGCTGAATTCGGAAGTTGAATTTGGGTGGTTCATTGCAGGTTACTCACTGCTGAGTTCGGGACTTCATTGAGTGCTTCATTTCATGTTCTTTATTGCAACAAGTTCCATATTGAGTGCATTAAGACTATTTGCGCGTTCCTGTTGTTGAAGTTTCTCACGATTGCCATTATGTTTTTTTACTTTCCACCTTTCTAAATTAGGTGCTGGGGGTGCATGTGTGTGCAATTATGTAATCCTACTAATCCTGTTATTTTGACTTGCCGGGGGAATAGGAACCGGACTGACACTCCCCAGAATGGATATGACTATTATGGAGCCAGGACCATAAGGACCTGTTTGGTTTTAAAAATAAAAAAACAAAATAAATTGGTGCTGGGAATGTCCAGCACCTTGCCCAGACCTTGACTAGCTAGGCCGCAAGTTGGCTGCCCAGATGCATGGGGCTGGTCCTGAACCGCCAGGGTTGTAGGCCTGTAGCACATTTGTTTTGGTCTTTCCTTTACATTTTAAGCTCAGCAAGAGGTTCTTTTCAGAGTTGAGTGGACTCACCCAACAGTCTTGCAAATTAAGCGACCACGAAGAGCCCTCATCAGAAAATGCATCGTCGTCAACATCATCATCATGGTCAGCGTCATCACAATTGCTGCTGCTGCTGCTGCGGCGGCGGTGGCGGCTGCTACCGCTGCTCCTGTCATCATCACAAGTCCCTGTCTCCACAAGGCAGTCACTTTCATGAAGACTTTGCAGTCTCATGGGGGAGGGCCTATGATTGTGCAATCCATTCCCACCAGACTTAGTTTTACTCCTCCCGGTTATTGATGTCATCATTGGGGAGCACAGACTGTCACCAAAGTCATGTGAGAGACCGCTGATCTGTCCAGTTGCCATGGTTGTCCTTATTGCATCAATCACACGGCTTTTGGGTGGTGACACTTGCGTATAACCACCATCGTGAGGACCAGCATGGCAAATTCTATCTAAGCAACTTGGTGCTTTTGAAATATGGCTCGATGAAGTGCCGCCTGTCCTGCAGTCACTATCCTGATGCTGCTGCAGCCTTTTCTGAGTTTTCTCACTATCATGCCAACCCCAAGCAAGAGGAGGACGGGGTGGTGGAGGAGGAGGAGGAGGAGGAGCTAATGAAGCATTCCGTTCTTCCTCCTTCTCATTAAGTCCATTGACTAGCGAAGACTTGGCCTGAACATCTGGTCTTGAACGCAGCAGCTTCTTCTTTGCCTCCTCCCATTTCTCCTCGTTTTCCTCATTCTTCTCCAAGTCCTCCCTCTCCCTATCGTATTGATAATCATGGTCGCGAAGGTGATGATCATGATTGTCCTCCGTATGTTTGCTGTGGTCATCCTCATCATATGTCACAGACAGTGACATGCTTTTGTGCCTTTCACAAGCTTCCGATTGAGGTTTATACCCATCTTTTCCTGTGATGAGTGTTTCCAGCTGTTTAATTCCCACCTGCAGAACTTTGATTGTTTCATCTCTTTGATGAATCTCCTCAAAGAACTTTTCCATCACGTCTGCATCTCTGTTCTTCTCCATAGCTCTCTTCTCTGCATCTTCCAATCTACACCTAAAGCCGCCCACCTCTTCCTGCATTTTCGCCATAGATTCCTCCAATTGCTCTCTTTCATCTCTTAACCTTTTGTTTAGGTCTTTCTCACTTTCCAACTCCAGTTCTAATTCCTCTCTCTCTTCCGTCAATCTGTCAATCTTTTCCTCCAGAGCCTCCTGCAACAATTCTCGATCTCTCATTTCTTCTTCAATTCTTGTCAGTGCCTTACACTTCTGATGAATTCTCATTGACAAGGTAACTTTGTCGTCCTCCATCTCACTAAGCACCTCTTGCAATCTCTCCACCTCTCTTTCTCTTGCCTCTAACTTTGCGAGCGCCCCATCAAGTTTGGCCATCGCTGCCTCCTTCTTCAATGTCTCCACTTTCATTGCTTGCGTAATATTTTCCATGGCTCGTTGGACATCTTCACACTGCTGACAAGATTCTGATTTTGCTTCCAGGCGTCTGTATCCCTTCGTGATCTTGCTCCCTTCTCCCTTCTCCTCTTCCTCCTCAAGCTGTTTTTGCTGGGTCAACTTCTGGCTCTCCATCCTTATTCCTATCTCCGCTGCAATAGACGCCTCCACACTATTATAGCTGCCGCTGCTATTGTGTTCAACCATTTTTCCCATCTTGCAGCTACAATGAGCACAGCCATCACCATTATGCTCCTGCTGCAGCTGATGAGAGCATGTGGCAGTGGGGTTGTTGACAGAAGAGAAGAGCAGCTGCTGCTGCTTGTCTTTGGCATGCTCATCGCAGCAGCTTGGTGCTTTCGCATCTGTAGCCCAGGCCATGGCCTCAATCTGGAGCTGTAAGGTATTGACTCTCTCAGTCATGTCCCTTAGCTTTCTATCTTTCTTATCAATCTCCGCCTTCATTCGGACCATCAACTTCTTACTCTTTGACTTCTCAAGCTCTGCAATCCTCAATTTCTCAGACATAAACGCAGCCTGTTTCGCCATCTCATCCTCCTTCCTTCCCGCTTGTTTCCACAGCCCCTGTTTCTCTCTTACTACCATCTCTGTCCATCGTCGCTCACCACCACCTGTGCCATCATTATGGCAATCACTGTTGTTCATGTTAGCCATATCGCTTGCATTATTTGTGATATTGTTGTTGTTGTTGTGATTATTCCTAAGAGGGTTCTGAGCCTTCAGAGACTGTGCGTTTGCCTCTCCATGGCTCAACTCACTGTCACCACTGCCTATTCCCTCTCCCATTCTTGTTCCCGTTCTTCCGATCCCTCCATGTTGTTTGAGGCTTCCGACGGCTTGAATGCGACTTCCTCTTTTCTCAACTTCTCGTACAACCCTTGAAATGACCTCTGAGTGTACCATTTCCCTGACTTGCATCTGCCTCATCATGTCTCCCGTCTCAGCAATCTCGTTCTTCAACTGTGCCATCACCTCTTCCTTTGCTTTCAACTGTTGATTGACAGAAGACACATCCTTTGCAAGAGCATCACGTTCTTTCACCAGCGTTCGGGTATGGGATTCCATCTCCCTCCACAAGTTAAGGACGTGTGCCTCCTTCTCTTCCGATTTCTTCAGAGCCAAGAAAGTTCGCTGAAGATCCTCCTCAAGCTCCTTCATCGCCTTCTTCAGCTGTCTAGCATCATCCTGTGCATCTTTCACATCCCTTCGCCATCGCAATTCATCCATCATCTTCTCTGTCAGTTTGTTCTCATACCACCTCATAACCTCCTCCCTCTCAACCAATTGCATTCGGAGTTGTTCAATTTCATCCAAAAGATGTTCGTCATGCATGTCTCTCCTCCCTACCCCCCTAGATTTCACAGGGTTCCCTTGCCCAATCATGTCACCATCACAAACAGCAGCAGCAACTTCCGGCATGGCTCGCTCCTCCAGCTTCTCCAGTCGGTTCTGTAAACTCTCAATCTCATCCTCCATGCCTCGTTCCTTCTCCATGTGAAACCTCAATGCAGCTCTCAGCGCTCTAATTTCCAACGATTTCTCATGCAATTCAAACAGTACCGCATTTCCCTCTGATGCCCCATCCTTGCTTGTTTCCATTGCTGGTGGCTGCTGCACATCACTCTGTTCCTGCTGTTGCCTTAAGCTAGGAAGGTCCTTTTCCATTTCTTTCTCCATTTCCTTGTCCATCTCCCTCTCTATCTCCTTCTCCCTATCTATTCCCATGTGCATCTCTTTCTCCACCTCCTGCTCCCTCTCTCTCTCCATTTTTGCCTCCCTCTCCCTCTTCGTCATAGCCATAGCCATTGCCTTCTCCATGCCTCTTTGTAATTGTCTCTGCATTTCTTTCTGCATCTCGTTCTCCTTGTCCTTCGCCTCAGACATTTTCTGCATCTCCTTCTTCTCCTCCGTAGCCATAGCCTTCTCCTTCTTCATCGCCACATCCCTCTTCTCCATCTCCTTCGCCATTGCCATAACCATCTCCTTCTCCAACCCCACAACCACCTTCTTCTCCTCCTTCTCTATCACCAAAGAGAGCTCCTCCATTCCTCCCACCTTATCCATCATCATAGCCATCTCCATCTCCTGCATTGTCATAGCAATCACCTTTCCGATCATAAGAACAACTTCGAGTTATAACAGCCAGACTTTCGATCAAATTCACAGTGTGTTACAGCACATCTATGTTAGTCCTGGCATTGTTGGTAATAAAGAGAATAGACATCATCACTTGTCAGCACCTTCTCTTCAGAAAATAATGAATGCTCTCTTGAAATAATGGAAAGGGATATACTACCTAGGGATGAAAATGGAGCACAAACCATTCATTAGTCAACTACAAAAGATGAACATACAGCTGGGCAAGAAACAAGAAAATGACATTATTCATCTTGGTCATTCTAGGGATTCTACTACCCCACTCACTCATCTCTTTCTTCTTTCTTTAATCGCCCTTAAAAAATCACTCACCCAACCAACCTCTTCCCCCACCACCTGCTTGGCACTCCTCTACCCTCCGTTACAAAAACCTTCCTTAATCATCTTTGTGCACTGTTGAATCCTTCCACTTATCTCCCCTATTTTAGCTAAGCATGCCCATGTTTCCTCCCCACGTAGTCATCAATGTATGTGCCATTCATGCCAGATTTCTTTTACTCCATCTTCCACAGCCGTTCCAACAAAAAGCTTCTAATCAACCTCCAGGCTCCAGACACTGTCATTGGATAAGCTTTGGTGGCACAACTCTCTCATCCACACATTCTCAAGTCTACCAGGCCGCGGAGGATTGAAAAACCTTTCCCATACTCTATCTCATTTACGACACTCCCTCTACTCCTTTAGTGTGCCATAGCTCCTTGTCCTCGCCTTCTCTCCCTTCGCTCCCCCCTGTGCCCCACTTCTTCCAAACAAAAACACCCCCGTATGCACGCTCTTGGGATGACTGTGTGGGGGGTATACTCACGCAAATATTTACATACACCATGCATTCAATCTTATTCCACATCCACAGAGAGTCTTTCTTGACCCTACATAACAACGCTAATACTTAGCATTCTGCACATCATCACAGGATCATAATCATCCATTCACACTATTGATATGCTGAAGCATCCATAGATTCCATACTCCTGTTGACTTTGTGAGAGAGACCCAAACCATACAAAGGCAGCATTCCCCCGAAATTGATTTCCTCTGCATCCACAAATCCATCAGCATCCTGCCACTACCTTGCTGAGATGCTCTTAGAATCCACTCTTGCTATAATATTACAGCAGGTGTCAATGCTCCGCCTCTCAGCCGCTCCTGCTGCTTTCTCAACCCTGACACGTGGCACTCATCAACACATTGGGAATTGCCCACAACACCAGGCAGCATGCAGGAGTCCTCCAGCGCTACTACACAAGACCAAGTCATTGCTTTGCGTTGCAGATACGATTCTTACATCATGATATAATTGGCCCTGTCTACACCATGGTCTATCTGATTCATGGAAGAGGTTGACAGCACTGGAGCCTTCCAATGCAGATCGACATGATGACAAATGCATCTTCTTCGCTGCTGTACAAGGAATAATTCTTGGTGACATTGTCCCTTAGGGCTCTTGCGAGGCGTCACAATCCTGACATAGATGGTGTCACTTCTACCTGTAATTATGCCATTGAACAGGAAAAAGGCATGCAATACGAAAGAGGGCAGAGGAATCAGTCTCCGTTATACATGCTGTCCATGAATGTGCACTAACACTACATTTGCATAACGAGATTCACCCAACTGGCAAGCAGCAAAATCATAAAGAACCATAGGTAGAAAGCGAGAAAGGTTCCAGAAAAATAGGGGCCAAACTGTTTCATCTTTCACTGACTCGTAAGTCTGTAGAGACGGTGGGTACGCTTCAAACCATAATCTGTCTTGAACTACAATCAAAGCAGGCTATAGCCCACCCACACAACATGCAAGTCGCTGTAGGTTATCAGTTCAGACTGCAGGAACCCACGGTATTGCAGCAACACACGAGTTGCACATCATGTAAATTTTTCAAGTTTGTGTGCGTTTTCATTTCCGTTCTTGTTGTATCAAGAATTATTACTCTGTCCCTTGTTCCTTTTGGCAATCGAACTCAGGGATACTCCAGCAATTTCCCCAACTCAGACTTGTCTGCAAGGAAACATACAATGAGAACACCAATTTTCTGAAATGCAAGAGCTCATAGAAGCACAAGCATGATCGAGCCGAGTTGAAAGGAGAATACCAATGAGAACTCCAATTAGGAGCAAACAGAACACTGAAGTTTCTTGATCAAGAAAGCCCCACTTCTCACCTCCAATCATCACCTCCAATCATCACCTCCAATCATTTTTCATACAACGACAATGTAGTAGCCCTACTGTGATGTGACCGCTCTGTTCTACTTCCTATTTCCTCTACTCATGCTAGCCTACTACACTCTCACTCTGTTTCCATGTGTCACTAGCCGGATGCTGCTTCAAGACTCTGCTCACACAAGCTTCCTCTAGCAACACCAGGTAAGACCTGCGAGTCCCCACTGTCTTCCTTTTCTTCCCGACCACTTCCACACACCGTCACCCTGCAGCCCTGCTAGTGCTCACCCACCTATAGCTGGCCCTGCCCATCAGACCCCACAGCAGCTGCTTCTTCCTTGGGTGATCCAACGGCCTCAAGTCCTGCCACGAGCTGCTCACTGCCCAAATGCCCAGCCTCCAGTGGCCTCCCTCCTTTCGTCTTGTTCTGGAGGCTGCTACCGGGTCCCAGCAGGCAGTGTCTGTGCCTACTGGATCTGAGTTCGTGTCCCAGCCACTGTAACTAGCTGCAGGCTGAGCCCATTGGTTGGCTCCAGGGGCTGCCGCCTGTTCTCAGGCCCATAACCTTCCCCTGCTGGCCTTTTCGCAGGGCGTGATAACATTTCTCTCAGGCCCGCCTTCACTTATGGAGGCCTGCCTATTCACAGGCAGCCTTCTGAGGCACACCGAGGCTTGGGGCCTAACATTCCCACCCCCTCAGGTTCGAAAGCCCTCTGAGAACCCTTCTGACCTTGCCCTTGCTTTCCTTTGAGATCCCTTTCATAACTTCGGGTGCAGACTTCTTTAACTCTCCTCTTGTGAACCACCGATCTTCACTTGAATCCTTAAGATGCCTGAATGCCACTTGGTGCTGAATTTGTGGCTCTGGTGGCCATCCCCTGCCCAGTGCCCTCGGCACAGGAAGTACCCAGTGTTCCACAAGGCAGTCGATGTCGACCTGTCCATTCATAGTTTGTGGAGTAGGGAACATATCATTTTGAGAGAAAAAAACACAAGTTTTGATGGATGAAATACAGGGTAAGTGCGAAGATGAGGAGGGGCATCAATCACATATGATGACTATCAAGATCACTCCCTGTCATGTCTAAGATAGTCCAGCGACCAAAATACTGGGGCAGACTTTCATGATACGTCATGTTCTGAGGTGAACTCAGATGACTTAACCCCTGCCCTGTCACCCACCTGGAATGTTGGCACCCATCTACATTGGATTTCTGATCCTATCATAGCCTTTGAAGTTTGAACCTTTCGTACGACGGTACTCTGCAACATGTTGTCATACTCAAGGGCAGGGCCTGACGCAGACGTAGGATCTGGAAACACAAAATCCAAGGGAGTTTGGGTTTCCATCCTAGGTGTCATTGATTAGCAGTACGGCTTGTGGCTGCATGTATAGCATTATTTTACAGCCCAGCTATCTGAGGCAGTTCGATGACCTAATCAAGTTGATCAGGAGTGATATAGTGCTGTAGAAGCTGATGGGCTTGTTTTTTCATTTGTTCAGCTTAACCGTTAGTCTCAGGATGATTTCCTAATGTCATCTTACTTCGAGAATCCTACCTGTCACCTCGCACCTGCCACAGTTCACTGGTGAACCGCACATCTCTGCGACTTAGAATGCTTTTGGGTAAATCCAAAATCCTTGATGCCGTGATTAGTGGATGCAGTTATTTCTAATCCCATTCTTTTTTTCTTTTTTTTTTCCCCTACTTGTAGCTGGTAGTGGTATGGTATGAGCAAATTTAGAAAATCTGTCACAATTACAAAGTTCTGCTTATTAAACCTTATTTCCTTTCCTGTTGGTCACCAGGGTGTCCACAAAATCCATGGCCAGTGACTGACCAGTGACCAGGTCCATTAGGAATAGGGAAGAGACTTGATTATTAAGCCTAGAGGGGCTTGTGTGTGAGGTTTATCTCTTTGACAACCCTGGCGGCTTTCTACATACAAGGGCGCATCCCTCTTCATGTCATGGCATTGGATCAGTACCTCTGAGCCTCAGCCCTCCTCCGTGCAAGCACGGACTCGAACCGGCGACCTCAGCCTCAAAAGCCAAGTATTGTAACCACTACAGCCAGGACACGGTGTTCGAAAGCGGAACCATACCGGCAAGTGATATCCGCCCCACCCCTGCAAGGCTGTAGTCTCCATACTCAACGCACACCACACACAACACCACACGGACGCTGGCAATCACCGCACACTTCGCTTCAAGTAGCACATGACCCCCATCGGTAAGTCTGACATTCATCGTGTTCCCATAAAAACAGGCTCCTTAGAGTTTCATTATTAGGGACACAAAGTCTCTCTACCCCATCCTTAATCAAGAATAACAACCCTTCCAACATCCTGAACTTCTCACACCTGTCTATCTCATGTAGTGAGTTGGCGAATCATTTCGTTGAGAATGCTGTCTGCCCGGTAAGAATCTATCACCTGCTAACCTACATGCCCTTTTAACCCAAACTCAAGAACAAGTGCACCTAGGAAATCTTCTCTCCCTCATAGGACATCAGCTACTGCGATGTATTGTCCTTTCACAAAGCTTTAGCGTGAAGTCATACATATCTATAACTTGCATCTATCTTTTAAGTGCATCTAAAATGTGGGGTCCGTCTTTATCCAGTGGAGTGCTTTTAGTGTTTTAAAAACTTTTAATGCAAGGAGAGTGCATACAAGTCCCGCTGACAGGTGGAGTTTGCAAGCTTCTAAGATGATACTTTTTAGACACATACTGCACCGATCCCATATTGACTGGCATCAGAGGTGATGATAAACTGCTTATCAAGGTCTGCATTTTTCAGGACAGGGTGATGCATGATGGGAGACTTCGATTACTTCGAAGTCCACTCACATTCCTTACTCCAGTCCCACGGGATATCGAGTCGAGTGAGATAAGTCAAGGGGCAGCTATACTGCTATAGTTCTTTGCGAATGAGCTGTAATATCCAGCCATCCCCAAGAAAGATCAATCACAAGCGAAGGTCGCAGCCAGGCTCCTTATCCGAATTCCCCTCTATGTTGATCTTGTACTCATGTTTCTGGAGGAAATCTAAAGCAAGCTCTAAAATATCGTCGAGATAGATAACTATGAACTTATCCAAGTTGTCATGAAATACTCTATATTCATAGCATGCTGAAATGTGTCGGGCAGCAGGCATAGTACATAGCCCAAAAGGCATCACCACAAACTCATACAGCACATACGTGCTCTACAATGCAGTCGAGTATTGTCCTCTTGTCTTATCTATATTTGATAATACTCGGACTTCCAGATCCATGTCGCTGAGGTACTTATATCCCTGCACTCTATCCAAGAGGTTATTGACGTGGGGTAGGGGCTCGCCATTACACAGTACCCATAAAATCAATGCACATCCTTAAGGTACATCCCTTCTTGGGCATGAGTCCCGGCGACCTGTATGGTGAAGTACTTGGCTTAATACATCCCTTCTTAGTCAGTTCCTTTAATTGCTTGGATATTTTGCTAGGGACATAGTATACATCTTGCCTCTGGGTGTTTTACTCCTTGGGACAACCTCTATCATGTGGACTATCTCCCTCTCTAGAACTCCAGTATAGGTTCCTCCTGCAGGTCTGGGTACTTTCTGCGTCACATGTGATGTCTCTGGAGGGTCTCTATGGTCTGCCAGTTCTGAGTCACAAATACTAACAACATACCCTCTTCCTAGCATCTGCACGAAGGTAACTGTAGAAAGAATCCTCCATCTTATGAAGTCAATGCTTCTTCAAACAGACTGTATCTCCACTAGGAATCTCATACACCATAGTCTATATGTCCCACTCAAACTGAAGCTTAGCCGCCTCCATGAAGTACATTCATAGGATTATATCAAATGGGAATTCTTCGCTCACAAGAAAAGACAGCTTGTGTCCATTCCCCATGGGAGAAGGTACAAAAGACTTCCTCGATGCAGTCTTCTACATGGAAATTGGTCGTGTTGTTTACTAGAGTAGGTCTGCTTAGCCGCTACACAGCCCCTCAACATAAGCACAACTAATATAACTGCTGAAGCCAATATCTGTTGGAGTCCCTGCTTTATGGCCCCCTACATCAACTTCCACACCGATAAGCTCTCCTTTAGGACCCTTCGCCATTCTTATCCAAAAGGCAATGAAATCTTTCTGTGACAGTTTTATCTCCAACTCTTCTGAGGATTCAGTGCGCCCTGGTTAGAAAGTGATTGAGGGGCAACCCCAAGGTCAATAGCCAACACCATCTTGCTCTGAGAGGTTGAGGGAGGGTCAAGCC